ATGTATGAGATGGACTTTGGGTGTATTAAAATATTATTAGTCAAAGAAACCTTAGATATTATCCACAGTAAATTTTAATTGGACAATACAAAGTGTTCGTCAATTGCACAATTCAACTAATATTAATATCTTAGTGGAAAGTGTTAGAAGGCCAAACAATAAATTATTAATAGTTTAGAGGAATATTCTAGAGAGAAAAAAGAAGCAGCAAACGCCAAGAGAGGGGCAATTTAGTAAAAGTATTAAAGGAAAGGAAAAAGTCAAGCGAGTAACCATTAATGATTCAGTAGAGTGCAAGTGGAAGAGTGCAAGTGGAAGCAAGTGGCTATTATTGCGAGCGAGATGATTTAGAAATAAAGATTGGAGAAAGGAATAAAAAGCATAAGCTCAAATTCGAACATTGGAAATGGTTAGGGGGCGGGAAATTAAAGAGACTATAGATGAGCAAGGAGGAAAAAAATGAATTAAATATTATATATTAACGGTTAAAGGTTAAACTATTATTTTAAAAATTAAAGAATTCTATAACTAGCTTACCAACTTTTCCGAGTAACTTACCTAATTAATCTCCAGTTAAGTAATATACCCAAATAACTAGCTTACTGAGCATTAGCAACTTCTTGAGTGGCTCCAGTTCTAAATAATTAGTTTGCAAATTTACCCGAACAACTCTCGATTTCTCCTGGAATTCAATTGCTAGCTTACCAACTTTACCCTTTAAACAATTCTTGATCACACTGGTCTCCACAGCTTTACCTAACTCTTTAAAAAGCTTTCGAGTGATCCAATACTAAAACAACTATCTTACCAACTTTACCTTTCTCCATGTGAACTCTAACTTACCAAACCAACTTTATCCTTCTTCATAATAAATCTCATTTTTCAATAATCTTATAAATCTTCAGTCGCAATAATTAGATTACCACGACTCTTGATCCAATAACTGCTTATCAATTTTACCTGACTCCACAATTCTTGAATGCTTTAATATTAAATAGCTAAACTAGCTTACCAACTTTACCAATCTCCGTGATAAATCTTTTTTTGCTCTTGAACTTCAATAATTAGACTTAACAACTCTCAAGTACTCCACTAGTCTAGCTCATCAATTTTATTCGTAAATCTCATTTGCTTCTAAACTCCTTTATCACTCTTGACTCCTCATCAACTCTTAACCAATCTTGATTTCTAGTTCACTAAACTTACCTAAGATACTTGCTTAAAATATTACCCGCCTCCATCTCTTTGTTTTGTGACTCCAAGAATTAACACCTAACTCCTTAACCATTATTGGCTCCTTTAATTAGCTTACCAACTTTACCTGACCCAAATAACTAGCTTACCACTTTACCTAACTTTTCATTATTCCTATACTCAAATAACTAATATAACAACTTTACATAATTCTTGTACAAGTCTTGACTGCTTTAGTACTTAAATAATTAGCTTACTAACCTTATCATCTCTTGAATAACCGATAAGGTTTGTAAGCTAGTTATTTGAGTATTTTCTTAGAAAAGAGTTATACAAGAATCATGTAAAGTTGGTAAGTTAGTTATTTGAGTATAAGATATTTTTATTTAAGATTTAATTTTGTAATTTTCAAAAATTGAAATTGTATGAAAAAAATTAAAGTTAAAATGAGTGTCATATTTATGTAATAAAAAAGATTTATATACTATACATATCATGTGTATTATTGTAACTATCTTGTTTTAATCTGTATAAAATGTTTTTGTAGACATTTTCTCTATAATTCGTTATAGAAATTAGTTCCAACTATTCAAGAATAGACACGTGAAAATTTATGAATTTTCAAAAGTCAAACAGGAAATTGGGAAGTGATATGAGAATTTGCGAATCGATTTATGTCTTTGCCCTTTTTGGTATGTATTTTAGTTTTAAGTTATTAAATTAAATTTTATCTTTGGAGATATTAATAAAGAATGACAAAGTTTACATATAAATATAATAAGTAAGCATTGTATCTTAAAATGTATTTAGACAATAATTTTTATTTTGTTTAGCATGATTATTCAAAAATTTTGTTTTATCTTAAACATTAATGCAAAAAGACCTTAAAAGTAAAAGTAGACCTAGAGAAATTACTGTAGTAGAATATACATGATATGGGACGATAATTAAACCTCATAATGTTACGCACAACCTAAAACCTCGTCATATGTGGGAGCAGCTTGAACTCGCCAGATTTAGTTCTTTTTTTTTCGGAATTAATTATGACATACTTTTACCGACAAAGTCCAGGCGTACGTTCTCTATCTATTTAGTTATAAAGTATAACTTTAACTTTTGTTATATAAGAAAAAATCAGTTACATGATTATGCTGTGTTCCGATTTATAATTATATTATTTAATTTTTCTTTTAAATGACTTACCTAACGCTTAAGAATTTTGGCACACGTTTTCCTCCTATACCAAACATATAATTTCATCAAGCTCTAAACAAAAGTCGAAAACCGTAAACAATCTAATATCAATAGAAGTTCCTTATAATAGTTAGATATATCATATATCATATTAATTTAGTTATAAAAAATATTTTACTGTTAAATAAATTAAAAAATATTTAAAAAATTAGCGAATTGTGCTAATTTTTATATAATATTCATTTAGTTAATTAATATAACTTTATGAAATTGAATTATTATTATTTAATTTTTTGAAAATTTAATTTTGATATTGAAATTTTAATTTAAAAATATTACTAAAATTATTTTTTATTTTCTTTGATTTTTAAAATAATTAGTTAAAAGAAAAATTTATTATTTTATTTTTTAAATTTGATTATTTTTTCTTTAAAATATTACCAATGTTTTCTTTATTTAATTTAAAAAATACTAAAGTTTGATTTTAATAAACTTATAAGTTATCCAGTAAAAATTAATTAACTTTTTTTAAAAAAAAAAGGGGGTATGTTAATACTTTAAATAATTAATAAGCAAAAATTAACCTCAAAAAACTGATTTACCTTATCTTTCAATGTGCGGTCTTCAATAATATGATGAAACCACAACTGTAATTATGGATCATCATCATCTTATATAAACGTAACACCACATCCATGTCCCTAGTTTTACCTATTATGCATTCCCCCATTGTGAAAATATATTATCAAGCTGTGTTAGAGTAACTTTTATTAAATTCAAACATAATAGTCATTTGTTTACAATTGTCGTGAATGTTTGTGAGCACACCATGCTGATCTAATTTTTTCACTACTCAGATTAAGCAGCTTAGGCATCATTATATTCTCAGATCCATACGTTCCAGACTTAACATAAAAATTGAGATTATTGGATTAATTCACTATATATTATATAAACTTTAAAATATAAAATACCACTTACTACTTATGAATGTATAAAATCGTGGATGCAAATAAGAAATTAACAGGAAGGCCTATGTTATGAACGCAAATCTGTGAACTTATACAAAGATCAACCTATCAATTTATCTATCTATTTCTTTTTTTAATTATTACTATTATTATTTCAAGCATATGTACAACTATATAAATGCTCTAGCAGTTCAAGTTTAATAATTTAAGGATATTACAAATTTGTAATTAAAGTGAAGCTTCAGATTGGGAACATATACTTGTACATATCAATTATCTTATTGATTATTGCTTCTCGAGCATCTTTCAGTTTTAAAGATGGAGATCGTTAACTGCCTGCTAATTTGAAAAACCATAATATTCATGATTAATACTAATATTAATTTTCAAATGAAATTATTAAATATTTCTTGGCACACCTTTATTTGCTGATAATAATATGGTTATCGCAACTTGGTCAGCGGAATTACTAATGCTAATGGTTACCGACCGGTAACGCAAGCGTAAATACCCGAATTCGACGTTCACCTAGAATTTGAAATTGTTAATAATATATATTTAAAAACTTCACTTTATTCAAAATACTGAAATAATTTACAAACCAAAACAAGTTGTGTGTAAAGAGTAGTTTAAATATTCTCCTCAATATTCACTTCAATTGTATACGAGTGATCACTGTTAAATTTATTTCTATCATACAAAACATAATTCTTTGAAGTACCAGAATGAGATTGCAAATATATGATAGAAATTATTAAAATCCACATGAAATTACACAAACATCCTTTTTAATCAAAATAGTTACAAAAAATCAAATTCATTGCAATGAACGATTGACTGATCCACGACAGTTCCAGAGGTACAATTTTCCAATTTATTCGCATCTCTATTAAATTATTATTAAAAAATTATAATCTTCACTACAAGAATTTAAAAACAAACTATCAAAATTTTCATACCTGGTATGATGAATCAACTCTAAAATAACCATCCGTAGGAATTGGAAAGGTTCATTATCAGCATAAAGGATTTCATCCAGAAGATGTGGTTAGATTTCTTTGTAAACTTGACAATAATGTATTTTTCCTTCGTCAGTTACTGCATCCAAGGGTAAGCTTGTAAAGATACACAAACTTAACGACGCTTTCATTGATTTGATATTGATTGTGATAAGGATAAAATCTTTTGCACTTTTTTTTTTATCCCAACCTCATCAAGTTCGCCTAAATTTTTGTCTAAGGTTTGATATGCAAGTCATAAAGCTTCAAAAAATATAGAAAGCTTTTCCACCCTTTCATCATATTCATCATGAGAATAAAATCAGTGAGCGGTCCTATAACAGGTTTTTCGAGATACACAGCTCCAAGAATGCAAATCCAAGGTCCCGCGATAGCTATAATTATGGACGGACAAAAAGAACACTTGCGAAAAGTTAACGGTATACACGAAGAATAGATAGATATTAAGATAAATGCGTGACTTTATCAAAATAAAGCACACCTCCATCTGAACCCAGTATTTCGCATCTTCATACCTTGTTTCGAAGGATCTCATCAGCAATATCAGTAAAACAGATATTGGGCTGAACGCTAAGTTAAACTCATGAATTTGATCATCAAAGACACTAGAGTTAATGTTTTTTTATAATGGCATCTTTAAGATGCCCAATGGTCCTGCTATCTAAAAAGTCGACAAAAAAGGAATCCGCAAGAGGATTTCCATTAACGAGACACCAATTCGTTTTGACTGATAATGATAAAGATTAGTAAGAATGTTGATACTGTCATGCCTGGTCACAAATCTTACCTCTTCCGTGGCTTTCCGTTTTCTTTTGAACTCTAATTGTTATTAAGGCACAATAAATATATGTATTTTTTACGATTTATTAAATTATACAGGGAAAATATGACTTACCAGTGGGCGGGGATACTTGATTTCGTTATCGCGTTCTCTAACTTCCCGTGTTAAACCTTCACCTTTTGTCCTTTATTATAGTATGTTAAATAATTTAATTGTTTGATTAAGAAGCAAACTATAGTTCTGTGGAAAACGTAATTGTGCG